GTTTTAAAAAGTGTTTTTACAATATTTTAATCGATACAAACTTCTTTTAATCGATTAAAACTCTTTATGACCGATTAGAATTCGAATGTAATAGGTCGAATGCAATATAATCGATCAGATCTTAAATATGAGCGATTAGAATTATTTTAATCGATTAAAACACGTTTCAATCGATTAAAATCACTTTGGATGTCAGTATGATCGATCAGAATGAGATTATGACCGATCGTAGTTGGTTATGATCGATCGAATTGAATTATGACCGATCAGACTTATTTCAATCGATTAAAACGCATTTCAATCGATTAAAATAACTTAGAAAATCTTTTCAATCGATTAAAACGAACTTTCAATCGATTAAAATGACTTGAAAATATATGTGCAGTTTTTCAATCGATTGAAACGACTTTATATCAGCTAAAATAACTTAGAAAGTTTTATAAGAAGGTTTTTAAACATATCAATCGATTAATACGCGATTCAATCGATTGTTTTATACTTAGAAAATGTTTGTAAAACGTTTTAACCGATAAAAACGTGGTCGTATCAACTAAAACATTTTTCGTTAAAGATCATGAACGCATTAATGGGTTGAAAGGACTTTTAACAGATTGTAACGGCTATTTCAACAGATTAAAACAAACTTTCAACAGATTAATTAATGCAGCAGATTTGAAAATACTCTTTTATAAACAGATTTGCTTGAAACTTTGAGATAGAGATCACATATCAGCTTTTACACAATTCAAGCAATCAATACAAACAACTATTAGCATTTTTCAAGAAAGATACACAACTGTTTTTGTGAACTTCTTTTGAAATCTTTCTTGAGGCACTTTGCATTTCTTTGAAGAAGAAACTGATCGTGGATTGGTGTAATCCGGTTTGAGCTTTCTTTGTTTCTTCTTTTAAATTTCTATTCATTCATTTGTACTTGTTTTGTACCTGGAATTTGGGTACAAGTTTTCTGCAGTTGTTGTAGAAAGTTGCCAAGAACTGGAATTTGGTTCTTGGTGGAAAGGTTAAAGCAAGAGCTGGAATTTGGTTCTTGTGTGTGGTGCCTGGAATTTGGGCACTCGGGTTCTCTCGTGGCTGGAATTTGGTTGCGAGAGGTTTCCAAGAGCTGGAATTTGGTTCTTGGTGGAGAGTTAGAATAGGTGTAAGAGGGTGAGTCTCGTAAAACATCTATTCTAGTGGAACCCAGCTGGAATTTGGCCGGAGTCCGGACGTAGCCCCGGTATTGGGTGAACCAAGTATAAAATTACCAGGTGAAATCTTTCCTAACCTTTCTCTCTTTAATTTCTGCTGCTGCACTTAAACTGTTTGATTGCTTTGTGATTTGTGAATTGATAAGTAATCTTAATTTTCGAATTAGATAATCTGAGATTTGCGAAAAACTTTCAAAAAAATCAATTCACCCCCCCTCTTGATTTAAAACTACTTTTCTAACAGATTGCTCCAGGTACATCATGGACTTCTCCACAAAACTTTGAAGTCTTACTCTAATGGCCTGGGGACAATCCAACTTTTTCGGGAGGGGCTGAGGCACAAGATGAGGAGAAGATGTCAAGTGAAGAAGATGAGGGAGGAAACTAGATGTCAAGTGAAGATGAATGAGGGAGGAAACTTAATTTTTTTTAATGTTTTTAATTTGATGTTATTAAATTCCTTTGTTGTGCCACACATTTTGTTTTAGAGCCATGTATGAAATTATTGTTTATTGTCTAATTCAAATCTAGACCTAAAAATCATTTTGATTATTTCCAATAACAAGTGATTTTAGGAGAATGGTATGATAGTGAAAATGAAATTGACGAGGAGAAGTAGGAATTAACTGAATTGGAGAAGCTAGCTGAAATCCAAGAGAGTAGTGTACCCAAAAACAGTTAAATTGAGTGTCATTATGATGATAACTATTATTGATTGATTCTTTGATGTGATTGCATGTTAGCGAGACTTGAAAATGATAAAGACATTTTTTTGTTTGGTGAAAATAGAAATAACCTAGAGCCAAATAACCAACCCTGCATTGATTAAAAGAAATTCTTTTGAACCCTATTTGAGCAAAAAACAAGGTTATTTCTTGAAACAGAATCCCTGAACCTAAACAATGTTTATTCACCTTCTTATATTTGAGAAACAAAATAATTATGAATGTTATTGTTATTCTTAAAAAAAAAAAAGAAAAAAAAAGGTTGAGTAGAGAAAAAGGGAAAAAAAGCATAAATATTGCGACTAAGCTGAAATGATAAATGCAAAATGAGGAAAGAAAAAGGAAATTCAAATTAGTGTGAATGATAACTTATGAGATTTAGATTGTCAGCTCACTATCATTATGTTGGAACAAAATCATGAAGTTGTGACCTAACTTGAGGAAATGATAAACGTGAATCATTCATATAATTTCAATTTCTCAAATACTTTTGTATATCATAGAAAAACCAATGAATTCCTTGATAGTCCAACCTCATTACAAGCCTCAAAAGACCTTTTTTATTTAAGTCTTGCTTAACAAATGTTGATTGCTTGAAGATGATTATCAATAGTGGATTATCTAAATGAAGTGATTGAATGAGATAAACACGTACCCTTAAGAGTTAGAGATGATTATATATCATTTTACTTGAGAGATAATGCTTCTTTAAGGATAGTTGATGACTAATTATCCCCTGTTAGTTTCTGTAACTATAATGCACAATCTATCATATTTTCACTTGAAGTGTGTGAACATCATATCTTGAAGAAAAGTTATTTTTGTTTTAAGTGTTTTGGAAGAGAAAGTGACAATAGGTAATGAATTTTTGTTTTGGAGGAATTAGTACTTTGCTTGGGGACAAACAAGATTCTAAGTTTGAGGAGTTGTTAAGTGGTAAAAGATGATGTAATTATGCTTTTAATTGTTATTTAACCACTTAAATTATGTTGATTCTAATTTATTTTTCTCCCAATGTAGGATGAATTTGTAGAATATCTTGGTACACGAGCAAGGATCATAATTCTCAAGATAATTGAAGAAAAACTAAAAGAAGGAAGAAGATTTTCAACCTGAGATTCGCCCAAGCGAGAAGGATGCTCGCTTGAGCGAAAATACGTTAAAGCTCTCGGGAAGTCACTCGCTCAAGCGAACATTTATTCGCTTGAGCGAAAATACGTTAAAGCTCTCGGGAATTCAACCGCTCAAGCGAATATTTCTCGTTTGAGCGAAAATCATCATTTTTTGCTTGAGCGAATGTTCCGCTTGAGCGAATGACGCGTGACCCAAATTTTTCTATAAAAAAGATAAGATGCGTTTTGAGAAATAATTTTAGGTTTTGAGAAGAGAGGTGCGACAACTACTCTAGTTTTCGTCCAATATTCAATTTTTCTTCATTTAGATCATTGTAATGACCATTATGAGTGACTAACTTCATTCTCTTAGGATTAGATGTACTTCCTTTGAACTCTTTTGTATCTTGGTGATATTTTGATATATTAATCTATGTTCTTGATATTGTTCTTCTTATCATTTATGCCTTTTGATACTTTTATCCTTGATGTTCATATATATTGGAAAATATATCTTGAAACCATTGATTAGGTTAAGAATGTTTGCTACATTGATTGCTAGGAATGATAATGAATGTATTAAGTGTTTAACACTCTAAACCTAATGCTAGAAAATCTATTAAATGTATGAGAAATCTATGTTTACAAGGTTTTCTTATGAATTTCATGTTTGAGAATCAATGTGAATGATTTAAGTAGGTTGCATCAACATTGATAGGTTAATTGATGTTATTAATTTGACCTAGCCATTATACAAAGGAGGGAAAAGAAATTAATCCAATTCTAAGTTCTTATATTTCATCTTTTTTAAAAATACTGAATAGTTTTTTGTTATTTATTTTCAATTCACATATTTATGAAAAACCAATTTTGTGTCCATATACTTAATAAGCATATAACTTGGAATTTCCAGTGAAATCGTTTATCGTGAGATCGATTTTTATTTAATTGAAATATTGTACTTACGCTTACCAAAAGACCAACATGGACCAACTTGATCAATGTTAAAAAATCATAAAGAAAATGATGCATTTATGTTAAGTAGATAAGATTTGAATAAAACATATTAAAACAAACTCATACCTTTTACTAAAATTAATCAACATAATTAATTGAACATGATGTTTAATATCTTAAAAAACTATTCAAGATATAATATCATATATTTATCTCATCTATCACTGACAAAAATAACTTTGACAACAAAATAATTTTTATTTTATCCGAGAATGTAACTACATGAGACTCATGAAAAAGGTATTCATATACCTTTTACATTATAAATATAAGACTTATTTAAGATGTCATTAAGTAAAATACAAAGACAACATGAAACTATATTAAAAAAAGTGTGTATTTGACATCTGAAAATTATTAGAATAAAATTCTCCATAAAATTATTAAAATCATGAAATATCTTCGACATGTAACTCATGACAAAAATAAATAAATTATTTTTATGATATTCAAGTTTAATATATCTTGCATGTTAGTTTACTTACTGACCAAAAATTAAAGATAATAATTTTTTTTAAGTGTTTTCAACTATTGATTGGAATGGGAGACCAATTGTAACCAAGTACATGCTTTATTTATGATAAATAAAACAATTATATACTAAGTATTTTTTTTAATATAATGTTAGCAACATTATTATTTTTTGCATTATTTTTTGAAATCTCTAATTTTAATTATTTTGAAAATTTAAATTAAATAAATGAAATCGATAAAATAAATATAAATAAAATATAAATTTATAATGCGACTTATATTTAAAAACACGGGTATTCAATTATATTTTCTAAAATGAGAGATAGGAGGAGGTGTTTTCTGTTTGAAGGACTCGGGACATTTGGATTCAAAACACAAACACTGGGGTTTGCGCTCTTTTGTTGGGAATCAATCACCAAAGCCTAAAGAAAGAAAATTTGGTCTTGTCTCTCTGGGTGTCTTCCATGGTCGCATTGTTGCGCATCAGAAGAATCATCACCTGCAACACCGCACGCGGATTCCCCCTCTCTCATCACCCTTCTCTCAAACCCAAACTTCTCTCAACACTACCACTCCAACTCCAACTCCAACCGATAGAATGGGAACCCCTCACTAAATCCCAGCTCAAGACACTCGTTCTCAACCACTACACCCATGGTAACTTCACCAACCTCATCCAAAACGTCGTCGCTTCACCCCCTGTCCTCTTCACAGCATGCCAGAATCTCGCAGCCGCCCCCTTTCGCCCGGCTTCGCTCCCGGACCGCTTCAGCATCGAGACCACGTCCAGGGAGCTCCGCGAAAACCGCTTCGACGTGGAAGCATGCTGCGTCACACTAACGCCCTCCAGTGAAACCACTTCTTCGCCTTTGGTTTTACCCAATTTGAAGCTGAAGGTCGTGATTGAAGCCATTCGGATGGTGTTGGAAATCGTGTACGACGAACGCTTCGTTACGTTTTGCTACGGTGGCCGCGTCGGAATGGGACGACACACCGCCATAAGGTACTTAAAAAACTCCGTTGAGAACCCTAGTTGGTGGTTCGCCGTGAGGTTTAAGCCTCATAGGTTTGAACATTTCCATGTGGAGAAGCTGTGTTCTGTTATTGAACGCAAAGTGAAGGATGCCGTTTTCATTGATTTTATAAAGAGGCTGTTTCAATGTAAGGCTTTGGTGATTGAATTGGGTGGGGATTGGTTGGGAAGGGGGCTTCCTCAGGAATGTGGGTTGTGCACTGTTTTAATGAATGTTTACTTTGATGGCTTTGATAAAGAGATTCAAGAGATGCGACTGCGGGAGAATCGAGAGAATCGGGAATTGGATCCGAAGATGATCGGTTCAGGTTTGGATTCTGATGTGTTTTACAAGCCAGTGAAGGTGTATGCGGTTAGGTACTTGGATGAGATACTTGTTGCTACGTCAGGGTCGAAGATGATGGCCATGGAGTTGAGGACAGGAGTTGTCAAGAGTTTGGAACTTGGTTTGGGTTTACGTGTTGATAAGGTGAATACTGCAATTCATAGCGCAGTGTCGGAGAAGATTGAATTTCTGGGGATGGAGTTGCAAGCTGTTCGACCTTCAGTTTTGCGCCCACCCATGTCGGAGAAAGCAATCAGGGCACGGAAGAAGTTCCTCAGGCAGAAGGAAGTTAGGGCTCTTGAATTGAGAAATGCTAGGGCAAGGAACAGAAGGAAATTGGGGTTGAAGATATTTAGTCATGTTTATAAAAAGATCAAGCAGAGTGACGGATTTAAATTTGACTATAATATTGAAGATCAGGTCCAAAAAATTTTCAGATCTTGGGCTGATGAAGTAGTGCAAGAGTTCTTGGGAAATATAGACGAGTGTCAAGAATGGCATCGGAGTCTATCAGCTGGTGATTTTCTTCAGTTGAGACACATTAGAAATCAATTACCACCTGAGCTTATTGATGCTTATGATAAGTTCCAGGAGCAGGTAGATAAACATCTGAATCCTATAAAAGCTAGGAAGGCAATTGAGGAAGAAGAAAGAAGAGTAAAGGAAGAAGAGGAACAAAGTTATTCCAAAGGAACAGTTGCGGATTTGACAAGACTCTGTTTGAAAGTTGAGGCACCAGAAATAGTGATAAGAAAGGCTGTGAAGTTGGTTGGGTTTACAAATCATATGGGTCGTCCCAGGCCAATTGAATTTCTTGTTGCACTTGAGGATGCCGATATTATCAAGTGGTATGCTGGCATAGCAAGAAGGTGGCTTGATTATTTCTGCTGTTGTCACAACTTCAAGATGGTCAAAACTATTGTAACTTATCATTTGAGGTTCTCTTGTATATTGACATTAGCAGAGAAGCATGAATCCACCAAGTCTGAAGTGATAAAACATTTTAGCAAAGATTTGAAGGTCTATGATATGAATGGAAATCATGAAGTGCATTTTCCTACAGAAAGAGAGGTTAAGATGATGGGAGATAGAAATCTTTCTGATCCAAAACCAGTAGATGGGACTTTGTTTTTGGCAGTAGTAAGGTTGGCATCCAATGAACCTCCATCACGATGCATTGCCCATTTCTGTGACAAGACAACCACAGTCTTTTATCGGGTCCATTTACTGCACAACAGATTAAATGTGAACCCATTAGATAAAGAAAAATGGGTGCAAGGGATGGGTCTAATTCATGAAAGCCTAAACCATAAATGTCTCCCTCTCTGTACTGATCATGTAAATGATTTGTACATGGGGAGACTCACACTTCAAGACATTGACTTTCCTTATTGTGTGGATGTGGACTGACTTTTGCTGCTAACATATTTACTTCGGTTTGAATCAATGATTCGTTTATACTTTCATGAATTTGAAAAACTACCTCCTTATCTGATTACCGGTCGGATTGATGAGTGTAGACTTAACTGTGGTTTTGGTTTTAGCTCTGTTTTTTGTGTCTTTAGCTTGTGGTTATTTTGAAAACAGTTCTTGTGGAGGTGAATTGGTTTAAGTATGTGTTTGGAGGAGGAAATATGGCCTGTCATAGATGTTGAGGCTGGATTAGTGGGGGAAATTGTGACAGGATTGGTGGAAGGAACTGTGATAATGGTTGGCGTAACTGTAAGTGTGAGACTGGTGTAGGTGGTTTTGGATTTTGGGGGGAAACTGTGGTAGGTGAGTTGACTGTGTCTTGTACATATTTCTTCTGATGTGGACTTTGTTTGAAGAAACAAAATTTTCAACTAGGCACGTTACAGGATTTATCCGCGTTAGGCATTTTACTGGCCAGGTAATTTTACATTTGTGTTTTATGTTCTGATGGCTTTTCAATATTTATCCAACAGGTTACTTACCTTGTTCTTACAAAGTAATAAAATGTTCAGCTGTTTTACTTTACATGTGGCTGATTATCATGTAATTAAATTTTGATTGCGACTCAAGTAAGGGCCTCCAGTCAGGATTATACTTTTTAAACCATTTCAAGGATTTGAACATGAACTAAGATGATATCCTAACTGCATTATGAACAGTGCCGCTGTAAAAGATTCTACGTGGACTTGATCCTGAATTCTGAAACCATTCTTTATTATACTGTAAGTGATTTGTTTTTTAATTAGATCTTAGATCCTATCTGGACAAATAATCAGAAATTAGATCATTACTGTCTCATGTTTATGAATTAGTGTATATGATCTGATTGATCTGTGCTTGTAAAGCACAGACAGAGCATGTTAGAGATAAAACCTTTCTTAGTCTTTTAACTGTTTTATAGCCTCTGAGAAATCTGACGCACACTTTTGAATTGATGAAATTTTCAAAATTAATTCGCTCCAATGCTCGATTAGCAAAGTTGATTATGTTTTTGGATAATTTCCAATACCTGGTTTGTCTACTACCAATTGACACAACGTGGTTTAGCTGATTTACAACTCCTAAGAAATGCTGGGCGTAATAATATCATTATTACCTGTAAATCCGTAACTTCAAAGGTATGGTTTAAATTAGTTGTCAATATTTTTTGTTTGTAGTTATTTCAGTCTAGTTTTAGTTATTAATATATTTTTTTTATTGACCGATTATTTACTTATATTATTTTAGACACATGATAAAGCTGCTCAGTATCAAAAAATGGATTCAACCATAATAAGCTATTGCGAGTTATATTCAATAGAAGATCTGCAATGATATTATTTGAAAGTTAATACCATAATAGTGGGAGTTATGAACATATTGATACCATTCAGAAGATGAAATATTAATACACAAGAAGTAGAGTGCACCTCAAGTAGTGGAAAGAGTACAAATATTGGAACAAATGAAATGGGAGATACACTTGCGGTATGGGTTGAAGCATCCAAGGAAAAGGTTGAGAGGTACAGGAGAACGGTAATCATGAAGGACACCCAGGATCAATTTTCTGAAGTATGCGGATGCTCTTAAGAAATTGTCAACATTTCATATGCACATCAATCTAAAGTCTTAGACAAATCTAGTACCTGAATAGAGGTAGGTTTGTCAAAACGGAGATTAACTTAGATTTTAAAATATATCAAAAAATTTGGCTTAGTCTAATTTTATGTTAGATAAACGGGTTATAGGTTATTTTTGACCTAATTAAAAATATATTTTTTTATTTATATAATTTTTTAAATTTTGTTTGAAAAAAATATGTCATTAATTTTTTTATTTATAATTAATTCATAACATTTTCAAACCAAATAAAATCGTAAAATAACATTGAACAAAATTTTATTGTTCAAAATTTTATGGTTATTACAGTAGTTTTGAGAAGTTATAGTTATCTACGTATTAAAGGTTAAATATATCTTATTAGAAATATTAAATAATATATTTTTTAATTTTTTCTTTTTTAGTAAATATACGTTATAAATCTTAATGATTGAGGTACTTTTAATAATTAATTTAAAATTAGAATTTAAAACTTTATTTACCTCTTGAAACTTTTTTATACTTATTATAGTGAAATGAAAGATCATGTTTAATAATATATATTTGATAAATTTTAGAGTCAAATATTCATTATTCCAATAAATTATTCTTATTATCCAATATAACTCTCATTTTATGATAGGTTATAAATATAAATATGTCATTTTAAATTATTGGTAAGTTAAAACATATTATAATTATGATTTTTATCTATTAAGTTTTTAAAAAAATATTTTATTTTTCTAATTTGAAAAAAAAACCCAAGTTCTAGTGTCTAAACACTGAATTTAAGAAGTAAAATATTTTTTGTAGAGATCAAGATAAAATTTAGTCCAAAATTTAAACATTAAAAACATAATTAAACTAATTTTTTACATTAAATTCGTTCTTATTCTTATTTATATTTTAGGCCATTTTCTTTCTGTAAAATATTATTTTTTATTAATCTTTCTATATAATGTTTTTTAGATCTTATATTCAGAGAAATAAAAACGTGACTTTAGTATTTAAAAAACATGAGATTTTAATCCTTGATGAGTACTAAAACTAATGCCAAGCATATGGTTTGCGAGCAGACTCAATTGCTCAACGATCCATGTACGTTGATTTTTATTGGTCCACATAAATGTAGGCTTAGATAGGTTGATTTCTTCCCTCTAGTTTTTTTTTTTTTTTTTATCAATATATTTAATCCACTTAATTTAGGTACCATTTATTTAGTAAAACTATAAGTTAAATGTTAGTTGATGCAAATTGTGTTTGTATATAATATTTGAAGCCTTTTTAACTTGCTTGATTTAATTTTAATAAAAGTAATATATACAAATTTTTTTTACTATAGATATGATATGATTGTTTTTATTATGATGCAACAAGGAATGTGAAAAGAAAATCCTCCATACAATTAGGAAAAGGATACGTAGAAGTCAAAATACATTGTACATTACTAGTCCAAATAATAAGAATGATAATGATTTGTTTTACAAGAAAATTAAATGATACTACTATCTACTACTATCATACAGATAACTGAAAGTGGGTGTAGAAATTGAGAATGTAGATAAAACTACATCCAGTTAAAAGCACTAGTCCTAATAGAAGAAAATGAAGTGCGTGATATATATAAAGATGAGTTGTATGGTGCCTAGATAGGGATATATACAGTTTTTTTGGGAAGATGAATAATCAAAATTTTAGTGTGTGGATTGTTTAAGGCGATGAATGGATTGCATATGATGTTATGTGATTTTTGTTCTCAAGCCCAAGGGTTTGATGATCTGAAAGGAACAGAGTAAAGTTTCGTCGACGCACATGAGAGCGCCGGCGTTGTTGAACTCTCCGCAGTAGTTTGGAGCTGAAAAGATGGTGACGAGCTGCCTGTCAGCGAAGAATTGGTAGCCATCTTCGACCACCTGGTGAGCCCTGCAAATGAGATCGAGATCGTGTTTCTTCAAGAACTCGGCGACCTTATCGGGGCCGAAGGTGTAGGAGACGCCCCTGTCATTCTCGCCCCAGCCTCTGATGTCGGTGTCAGGATCGGCCCAAAGGAGGTCACACAAGAGGCCCTGGTCGGGGACGTCGACGGGCCTTTCAATGGCTTTGATCTGGTCGAGGCTCTCCATGTCCGGGGAAAGCCCGCCGTGCATGCAGAGGATCTTGTCATCAATGAGCGCGGCCACAGGCAGACAGTTGAAGCAGTCTGTGAATATCTTCCAGAGGCGAACGCTGAATCTGCGCTTACACTCGTCGTAGAAGCCGTAGATTCTGTTAATGGAGGCACATTCGTGATTTCCTCGGAGAAGGAAAAAGTTTTCTGGGAATTTGATCTTGTAGGCCAGGAGCAGGCATATTGTTTCAACGCTCTGTTTTCCTCTGTCAACGTAGTCCCCCAGGAAGAGGTAATTGGAATCCGGAGGAAACCCCCCGTACTCGAACACTCGCAACAGATCTGGATATTGCCCGTGTATGTCTCCTGAAACAATCAATCAACAATCATCATATCATCTATCTACCTCCTCTCTTAACCCAACAACAAACAATTCGTCAATTAACCACTTACCACAAACGTTAATGGGAGCTTCCAATTCCAAAAGGTTTGGCTGTCCCAGGAACAGATCTTTCGCCGTGCTGCAAAGGTTCCGAATTTCAGGCTCCAACAGCTGAATCCGTTTCCCCCTGTTCTTCCTCACTTCCAAAAGCCTCTCTATCAAACCATCCAATCCTTCCATTACCCCAGGTACCTCTCTGATCTCTTCTCTTCCCTTCTATTGTAAGATTTCTCTTCCCAAGCTCAAACTCATGAATGCCAAAAATATGTTATTTCACCTCCTCCCACTCGTATGCAGGATATTTGACCTGTGGGCAACCGCATTTTTATTTTATCAATTTGACTCATTTCTATGGCTAAGAAGCTCGCTGAGGAGCAAATTAGAAACTCCCTCAAATTAGGAAGCATGAATCAGTTAGCACACAATCAAGCCCTGTTGGTAAGTTCCTTTCATTTCGTATTTAGTTTGGCCACAAAATCGATCTAATCAAAATTGTTCAATTTTTTTTCTTCCACTAAACCTAATTATAAACCAATGAAATTAAGCTTTAAAATTTGAGAATTAATTTTTTATTTAACAAATTTTCAAATAACACTAAAGTTTCACTACGGATTCTATTATTCTAAAATATAACTACTCAAATTGTATTTCAAATTAAGCATATAACTACTCAAATTGTATTTTAAATTAAGCACTTTAAGAACAAAAAAATATAAGAATATGGATAACCAAATAAGTTAAACTTGTAGTGTTTAATTCTATTTTTCTTTTCCAAAAAATATTTCAAAGACTCTTTCATAAAAATAGAAAATGTCTCAAAATATTCTTTATGTGCGTGAATATGTCCAAATCTCACAAATTACATTCCTCTCTTAAGTTTTTATAATATCTTCAAAAGATAAAAATCTATTCATAGATCCATATCCAAGCTTATTTTTATCAAAATGCCTCATGTTAAATAATATGACCAATATTCTAGAATGGACCAGGGTTTTGTAGTTGTAACCACAGAAGAACAATATGTCAATACTGAGATTTCCAAAGATCTGATCAAATATTGACATAATAATGATATACTCACTTCAATTATGGAGGTATTAGATTAGTCTTCTCTCTTCATGAAAGATGCGAACTATCTGTTTTAGCTAGCATTTTTCTCTTGGACTCTAGCTATTTGCATTATGAGCATGCCATAATTGACATAGTAATAACCATTCTCCATGTTAGAAGTGTGGTACTAACAACCTTTTCTAAGTTCAATGTTAACATGAAAGATCTTATCATATTTCAAAGACTGAAGGTTCAAATTCAAATTAAAAGAGCCAAACAAGTGTCTGATGCATTATGTACAACCCTTTCATCATCACATACTATAAGATCATGACTTACCTTCAGGCAAGAAGATAGAGTCTTATTTGTCTTGGCCAATAATCAAGACCAAACACATTCCACACTCCACATCCTAGAAACATTTTCCATAAGAAGCTACAAAAACTTACCAATGGATCACCAATTATGAAAAACTACACATAAATCAAAACAAACTCATTCAATTTACTGAAGCTACTTTCAAAAGATTTATAAATGGTACTCTCAAAACCATATTTAAAAATCTCAAAGATGTCTCAAGTTCAAGTACATCAATATTTCAATCTATGATGATCTCACACCTAAATAATTTGTATAAACCATGTTGCATATCAAAATGAAACTCAAATTTTATAGCCTAATTTCATTTTTCATTTTCTCATTAGAATAAATTTTAACATTTTATAAATGTTAGATAAAATATAATTTTAACCTTCATCATATTATATTATTATTATTATTATTAATATTTTCTCTAATATAAACTTATGTATCTTTATATTTGTTTTCAACATATTTTTAGTTTCAATATTATTCATCATTATGATAGCAATTTAATTTTTATAACTATTTCATATGAATTTGATAATAAAAATGTCAAACATACAATTAAATGACATTTCATTTTAATACACATGAAATGATAATTTTTGTTTAAAATGATTGAAATAAAAAATAGTCATCAAAACAGATCCATTTGTCTCGTCTTTAACTCGTACAAAATGGGATATAGGAAGGGTCATAATCTCCATTCTCTCTTGTCAATATTTTTTATATTAAGTTTTTTAAAAATACATAATTATTTTTATGACTATTTTTTAAGATTTTATTTATTAATTAATATTTTTATTAGATATATTAAAAAAATTTATTATATTTCTATCTTAAAATACCTAATTATAATAAATTATTTATATTTAATTGATTAATATTTATAGTATAGATTATAATATATTTGTATATTTTAACAACATAATATAAAAATATGTAATATTTTTAATTATAATTATTTTTATATTAATTTTAATATATAAATATTTTGTTAAAGCATATTAATGGACTAGCTAATCTCACCCCACCTTTGGCCCCTCGAGTTAACGAGTTAGGTAAGGCAAATCAAAATGAGTTGACAAGATAAAACTACAATCTTAACCCATCATTGATACATCGCGTTGATGAGTTAGGCCAGACGAACCAAACTACACTGACGTACTAATATTATCAACCTACCTTACCGATTTTAGGATAGATTGGTGGGATGGCTTCATGACCTAACCCATTTTCTTATTCCTAAATTAAATTTCACTTAAAGACTTAAATTAGATGCAAGATTATTCTATAATAGAAAAAAAAAGTAAATGGGATTGATTGAAGGTTTGTATGATAATTTTTGTAGCACATGCTATGAATATATTGTGTTTGTACAAGAAGAAGGGAGAACAAGCATCCTTGGAGAGTAGAGTACAACGAAGATAGTTGTAGGGAAAATTGAATTGTTTACTGCTAATGAATCTATTTTAAATATATTTCAAATTATTATTATATTATATAATATTGTATTATACTTCTTGAAATATCATTGTAAATATAATAAAATTTGTTAATTTTTAAACCTTCACAAAAAGTATCAAGAAAAATTTTCCCAACTAATATGAGACATGCAAAGTGAAATATGAACAATATGATTTGATATGGAATACCTAGGATCTTTCATAATTTCCATCCAAGAACTTAAAAACATTCATTAAAATAATGCTCATGTAATCTTCAACCATGAGGAAGAAAAAAAAAAGGTCAAACAATGATAGAATCACACCATTTCTAAAATTTCAAAAAATAAATCAAGTTGTTAATTGGAAAGTTGAAGAAGCTTTCTAAAATAACAATATTAATGAATAAGATATTAAGAACAATGACAAAGATTCAGAAGGTAAATTGATCTTATAAAATCTTTTTCAAAAAAATTTCAAATTGTATCAATTGTTAAATAACAAAAACAATCTTTTTAAGAGTTAATTGATAGGTAAAATAAGAAATAGAATGCAATTCAAGATTTAAGAGATAGAGAGAGATAAAACATAAGATTTTATATTAGTTCACTGGACCACTACATCTAGTTTTCAGTACAAACTAGTTGAATTCCACTAAAACCAATATTTAATTACAAAGTACAGACTAATAGACACAATCTATCTATCCTAAGAGCTTCTTAAACACCTAAAAATCACTTAATCAACCAAAACCCCACACCAGGTTACCAACAAGCAGTACCCAACATCAAGTACCATCAATACATCAAAAGAATAGAATGTAAGGATAGAAATCACTTGAAAAGATTGTCCAAAACAACACCCTAAATGCAAAGCCTCAATCTCTAGTAATCTCTTCAGGAAAATAAAAAAAATACTTCAAGGATATTTCAAACTAATCTATAATGAAAAGCGCAACACTCTAAGAAATCTCTAAAAGTTTGAACAAATTGTATTTTTGAAAAGAGAAAGCAAAACTTTTTATATATGAAAATTTGTCAGTTTTAATTAATTAAATCATGTCCTTGATCGATTATTTTCTCTAAAATGACCAATTAATCGATCAGTTTCGTGTTTTAATTGATTAAAACTGAGAAGTATAACCATGAAAATTTTAATAAGGTATTTTAACTAATAAAAACATATTTAATTGATGAAAATAGAGAAAACAAAAATTACTCTAAGTATAGAAAGACATTTTAACTTATGTATAACAAAACTAATCAATTAAAACATTGAGATAGAAATCCTTCATGCTCTAGTGGTCAGTTTGAACTAATAACACCTCCAAAGAATCGATTAGTGAAATAAAAAATTTCACTAAGTTACAATAACATTTAACTTGATAACAAGGTTATTCTTATGGATTAAAATAGAAAATCACATTTTCTAAAAGCATTACCAAGAACATTTTAACTAATAAAATAGTTTAATTGATTAAAACTTCAAAACACAATAATGTTTAAGTGATTAAGTGAAATTAATAAATTATTTCAAACTTTTATCAATTAAAAAACAACCAAAGAACATTTTAATAAATTAAAAGTAGTTTTAGCATATTAAAATAGTTTTATAACAAGATTTATTTTAAAATTAAGGCATCCTAACTAATTTAGTGTATGATTAATTAGAGAATGAATTAAAGCATACATACCAACATATTTTAGACTCTTTCTCACACACATAAAAAGACACAGCTGTAACAACCAACACATATCTAATCAAAACCTTGACTTTATCAAATTCAACATATAGAGTACTTCATGTTTTTCAATCTCTCTCTATTTGATTAAGACAAATAACATCCTACAAAAACAACATCAATGATATGCAATATGCTTGTGTGTCATGTACAAAATATATCATATTTCTTCTGCCCCCTTTTGACTTCATCAAAATAAGGAAAATAAAAATTTTCATGAATTTAACTTAAAAACACGTAAGAGTAGGGATGCTAGTGACTAGTTTGGAGAAACCAGTTATAACTACAACCTAATAGCAAAAAAGTAACACCAAAAAAAGCTCATAAGACATGTAGTAGAAGAGAATAAGAGAAATTTTAGTCTTCCTATGGGCCTTGATTGAATTGTAAGTCACCAATCCTATTGTATATGCCCTCCAGTTGGTTGTCAATGAACTGAAATCTGGCTATGGATTCTTCATAGTGCCTATACTGTTTTGCTTGGACAACATAGGTCATTTGCATATGTTTTCTCTATCTCTCTTATAAAGCACTCATTTGAGACAACATGATTCTCTTAAATTGTGACATAACAGTGCCTC